CCGTTGGACAGGAAAAGGTGAAACACCGAAAGGAGACTTCATCTGGTCAGGAGAAGAATCCTCACATATGAGGGGTGTGGGGTTCTTACTAAGCATTCAAGCGAAAAAGGCATTAATAGGATACAATCCAATCAGCTCACGAATAATTTCGGCACGATTCGATGCAGCACCATTCAAAATGTCAGTAATACACGTATATGCACCAACTTCCTCATCTTCAGAAGAAGATATTGAAGCATTCTACAACGATATTGAGGAAGTATTAACAAAGACAGATAAAAAGGATATACTTATACTGACAGGAGATTGGAATGCTAAAATTGGCAATGATAATACAGATTGGAAATCCGTAATGGGAAAATATGGTTATGGCGATAGAAACGATCGCGGAGAACGCCTCCTAGAATTTGCTACAGTACACAATCTCTACATATGTAATACAAGATTTGAACATAAATCAAATCGAAAGTGGACGTGGGCATCACCAGATGGCATTCATAAGAATATGATTGACTTGATACTCATCCAGCGTAGATGGAAGACCTCGGTCATCAACTGTCGAACGTTTCAGAGTACAGACATAAGCTCAGATCACTCACTAGTGTTGTGCAATATTAACTTGAAACTTAAGAGCCAGCACAACAAATCACAAAAGGGCTATAGAGTTGATGTGAACCGACTGAGAGATGAGAAAATCAAGCAATCATATAGCGCCGCTCTAGCGAAACAGCTTAAAGAGATAGAGCCAATGTGCAGTCTGGAAGAGCATGCCACAAAGATAGAGCAGGCTATCAAAACCACAACAGAGGCAACTGTACCAACAAAAAGAATAACCAAAAAACCATGGATTTCTGAAGAAACACTAAAACTAGCTGATGAAAAACGCAAACTAAAACTGCTAAAAGACGTTTCCTCAGAATATACACAACAATATAAAGATCTATGCAGGAAAGTTAAGAGAGCAGCAAGACAGGACAAAGAACATTGGATCCAAGGCCAATGCGAGCAAGCTGAAAGAGGTCTAAATATTGGGAATACAAGAGAAGCATATAGCCTCATAAAAATGCTACGAAAAGAATTTGTACCTAGATTAAATGTCATACGAAGTCAAGAGGGGACAATGTTACAGTCAAATAACGAAATTAAACAAAGGTGGACACAGTATTGCAGTAGTCTGTATAAAGATCGTGGAGGTGGGGATAGGACGGTGAAAGAGCTTGAAGACATTGCACCTCCTGAAAACGAGGGCCCCCAAGATATCTTGTACTCAGAAGTACAAGCAGCAATAAGCTCATTAAAAAGAAATAAGAGTCTAGGATCAGACGGAATAACAGCGGAAATGCTACAAGCTGGGGGCGAACCGCTAGCAA